AGTCATCAGTTGCACGGCAGCTTCAATTAGAGCCTTCTATTCTTTCAGCCAAACTGCTTAGGCTGCACCCAAGCGCTGCAACCCAGCGCTGCTTCATCATGAAAATTATCCCAGGCCCATGCTTTACTGCCACCTGGAACGATCTGGACCCGCCGGTATGTAGAAAAATGATGAAAAATGCAGGATAGCTTCTTGTTACTAGTAGCGATGCCCTTGTTACCAGTAGCTTCTTGCTACTAGTAGCAATGCCAGGAGCTACTAGTAGCTTCTTGTAACCTTGTTAATGCCAGAAGCTACTAGTAGCTTCTTGTTACTACTAGTAATGCCAGGAGCTACTAGTAGCTTCTTGTTTCTAGTAGGGATGCGCTTGCTACTGGCTCTGAAGGATCACACCATTCCGGAGAGATGATACGGCAAAGTCCATGTGATACGGCGCAGTGGTGTGTTTTCACGTCGCGACGCTGCTGGACCTTCACCGACGTTCATCAATTTGGCAACACTCTGATGGGAAGAAGAATAATTATGTAAATGACCATTCAAGTCCAGTCTAGGTGGCCAAACAGAGTACAAGAAAACCGCCCCACTAGCCACTATACAAAGCAGCAACCAGGCTGTGCACTGCCAGCAAACAAATGCTTTTCAGCGTTGCTCAACCCGGTTCGCCCGAAGTGTCTTTTCTTTTCAACTCCTACAACCAGTGTGATTGGACCGCCGCGGGAGCTGTGAAACAGAGCCGCCTTGGGCGGTTGTCATGACGCCGGCTGCGCCGGTTTGGCATCCGGAGGTCATTTATGATATCATGTGCGAATGTTTGAAAGGCGTTGAATGGCCAGACTTCCCAATGTTGCAACATATATTATATATATATATATCAACATACTGTGTAATTATTTGAACCTGATCGAGGCTCCTCCAGCTTCCAAGCGCTTGGAACCGCTGAGCCACCGAAGCTCACGTGTCATTGTGGAGACCCAAGGTGAGGCCTGGAGCAAACAGCTTTGCTGTGAAGTGAAGAACATGGGATCGAAGAATTCCCGCAACGGTTCCAATGTTCGGTGAAGTATATTCGTCAGGGAAACGAACCGGAAACGAGCCAGGTTTTCGACTATCACCTCGGAGCCCTTGTCGTCGGGAGACCTACGCCGTCGGACCGACACCCACCTGCTGGGCGCGCTCGCCGAAGGTCGTGCCTCGCGCACTGCGCGCCTCTGAGAGCTCGCGCATTCATCGGAGAGGACGTCCTTGCGAAGTCGGGGACGCCGTCGGAGTGTTGTAGCTAGCAAGCTTGGTAAAGGTCCTCGTTGGCCCAGCTGTATCACAACCTGTCTGTATATTATACGAAGTCCAAGACGATTTTACAATGGTCTTTGGATGTCATAATATCATCCACAGGCCCATTCAATATCATTCAATTGTTGGCGATTCCCAATCTGCTAGGTTGTGTCTTGACGTCCCAAAGTGTGCTGTGCTTTAGCAGCAAAGCCTCGTGCCTCCGGCGCAAAGAGAGAAAAGGTGACTCAACATCTGTGGTTGTGACCCACTAAAGTGACCGGAAACTCCACTGAGAAGTCATCTACGATCCAAACACGTGCAGGACCCCGTTCCTAAAATCCCAACAAGCCATTTTCGCGGCTCCCAGACCAAAGCATCCAACCAAGGCCCGGAGGGCACCTCTGGCAAGTCAAGGTGGTGCCGGAGCCAATGTAGCTCGCCTCATCACATGGCACAGCCAAGCAAGTTTGGCATTTGGCCTCCATGTCTTCGATGGCACATGATGCTCACCTCATCTACATGTGGTGATCTTCGTGCTGATCCTTCAGTGCCCACTTCATCCCACCGGTTCGAAACTCCCTCCACACCGCGACCTCGACCACCTCGACCTGCCACCGCGCTTCCGCTGTGCGGCCAAGACACTTTAAGGCGATGTGTCCGGAGTGCGCTTGGACTCTTCAGGGTCGCCTCGGTCTACCAACCCCCCGGTGGCCACCGCACCACCGGTAGAAGGAACACGGTCCTCCGTTTCGAGAGGCTTGGAGGTGGGGTGTGGTGGGATGTGGTCGGGTGTCGTGGGCCCTTGGCCCGAGAAGCCAATGTTTGGCGGGTCCGACCTAATCAGTTGGCGAATGCCCCCGAACACGGAGCGAACAGACCTTCCCGTGACTTACCATCCGCAAAGATCCAACACCTGAACGGGAGCTAGAAGCATGTTCTGCTTTGCGTTTCCAAACTGTTTGAGCAACCGTCATGTCATTTCGGCACACGTCCGTCACCTCTCGTTCGGAGTGCGCGGGTCTCCGCGGAACGTCTCTCACGCCTTGGGGCTGGCGGCCGCAAAGTCCAAGTCCTCCATCTCGTGCGCCCACTGCGCGGTGCGAGCTCCGCAGCGGAACAGAGCTCAGCTGATCCCCACAGTTGGTCACCCAGGTCAACTGCGTCCTAAACCAAGAAGCCGGTCTGAATTAAGCAGAAAAAGTCCTGAAAGCCTTGTTTTCGGAGGTGTTTAGAACCAAACAACCCATCCACCTCACACAGGTCGCGACTGCGGTTGGTCGATGTTCTCAGAAGCTCGTGACCCATAAAGAGGCGGGTGTCCCCCGCTGTGTGTCCTTCAAGGGTTGCAATGCGCCTTTTGTTTGGGTCCACCCGAGTGTTGTTAGAATCTACTACTAACATAAAAAGTGCTTGAGGTGCAGGAAATGCCGGGCCTGGGCCTGGGCATCTTAGCAGTTTAAGTGAGTCTTAACTGCTTCACAAAGTTCCCTGCCGACGTGGAGAGATGTGCTAAAAACTGCTGGGCAAAGGTCCAGGATGAGTCTTGCTTGCTAGTTGAAGCTGATAGACGTCTCTATCTACTTGGCACTTACGTGCACTCTTGAGTCAAACATAGGTAAACCGATCCTGCCTTGTCCTGAGGGTCTTGATAGAACTTGTCCGAAATGTTGTAGTGTATGTGGCCGTCCTCATTCGGTCCAGGCACGTGGACCGAATCTCATCGCACCGTCCAGATCTTGCACGAGGCAGGCTCTGAGTCAGGAATGATTTCACTGGAGACATGACCCAAGCCCAGGAGTACATGGAAAGCATGAACATAATCATAATCGTTATTTTCAGTATACAGTTAAAGTCGTTATATATATATATATGTATATGTATTATACAGCAGTAATTATCTATATATATATATGTATCATTCCCCATGTCTTCACACCAGGATTCTGGATTCCACAATATACCAACTCTTCGGTCATGTCTCTTTTGCCCAAGCAAAACACGATGAAACGCAACAGCGTAACCTAGCAGCCGACTGCCGTCGTGGATGTTCGCCGGCGTTCTCCGATCCAAAAAAGGGCAATGTCGAATCTTCTCAGGCCGGAATCCTCTGAGCAGCCATACCTTCTGAGCGCCTCGGATCGGGTGCAGCGTCGCTTCCTCCACTTTCAGCCAAGCGTGTTCTCCTGGAAGCTTCACCGTCATCCGAATCTCTTCGGGCGAAAGCCGTGGATCCTCCAGGGACCGTTCACAGAAACTCACCACGTGGCTGCGGACCTTCTCCCAGTCCGTGGGCTTCACCAGCTTCCGCAAGCTTGGCATCTTGGAGTGCAAAGCGGCACGCAAATCCCCTTGTTTCTCACGTTGAAAGTTCAAGTGTGCTTGTGGTAGATCATGGAGCTCTGTGTTCACATCCACCAGCAAAGTCATTTCTTGCAGTGCACTGAGATGGGAAAAACTATGGGTTGTTCCAGAGATCATGGACCTGGTATCTTGATGACTCTCTTCGTTCTGTCTGCTATCCTCATCATACCTGGACATCAAAAGGCTCGCCGGAACGGAATCGTCTGGAGCCTCGGGGTAGATCTGCCGCGATTCGGAGTCTTCCTTGAAGGCAATAAGGTGGTAAGGCTCATTGGCCCCAAATAACCCTGTCCGAGACAAGGTCATCCCATCGCAGCTATTCAACCATCGTCGGACAAAATGTTGACTTCCATCAGTGGAATGAAGGTTGCCAAAACGAAAACATGTGACAGACCCCATGCCTGCCCGGAACGGGTACATGAAAGAAATCTGCACCAACCTGTATGCCTGCTGATCCCCTCAGAGAGGACTGCAAACATAAGGGGAGCACATCGTCCTTGGATTCTGGTGCTCCAAATGCCTTTGTGGAAGACTCAATAAAGTCGCCAAAACGATGATGTTCCTCTTTGGGAAGTAAATGTTGAAATGGCCTGCCTTTGAGGCTGACGTCAAGTGCTTCAAGCTTTCTTGCGCCACATTCATCTGGCTGGCCAGGAGAACTTCACCATCACAAACACCTCTCAAAACCCTCCTGCAGTATTGATTTCATTGAAAGATCGGTCATCGGCAATGTACCCCCTTCAACTGAACAAACATCCGAATAAAATATATTAACGCAAATGTCCCATTCATCCAACCCAACGCCCTCCAGTCGAACAGAAGATAAGTGGACTCTAAATCTCTGCTCAACCCGAGAAGGATCTGCGAAAAGTCCCGGCCTGAAGCTGGTCACCAAGGATTCTGCATCCGCGGTGTGGAAGCGGGCGCGGATGCGTCCACGGAGGAGCAAGTCGAAGACCAGGGATGAGGAGATACTGACGACAAAAATGAAGAGTTGGCTCAAGCCCACCTGCTCACAGTTTGTAGATCGCCCGCCATCAAAAACGAGGTGTGAAAATGGCAAACAGGTGAGCAAGGGTGTTACACTCCGAGTTGGCAGAACTTCTATGACCAACCAAATCTACGAGTGATTTAGATGACCTCGTCAATAAAGAAAATTGCAATGATGTATATCTCGTCGGAATCATCTACCCGGTTGGCCGAGTTCAACTACCGTTGGGAAAATCCACAGCGTTTGTTTGCGGTTTAGGTTGAAAGGTCACCGTTCTCGGGAGAAGGGTTTGATCAACACCAACTCCTTCACGAAAGCTCTGACCGAGACACCGGCAGCAAGTCCAAAGTGCCACCTTCAAAGCGACAGGAATAGATTAAGACTGCAAAGAAGTAAACACCTGGGCCTGGTACATATTGAAGCTCACAAATGGAAGAATCGTCCAAATTCCCCAATCGGGATGGCCAATCCCCACAATACGCCCCAAAAAGCCCGATTGGTCCGGTGTTGCTAAGCTTCCGCTGTGGTGTAGAGCACTTGGAAAGGAATCGAAGTCCAAGGGTCCATGAAACACAACACCAACAAGAAGCGGCACGCTGTGGCGAAGCTTTGCAGCGAGGCGAATTTCAATGAGCTTGAAGACCACGCAGTCTCCACGATCAGTAGGAGTGTGATTACATGCATCAAGCGGGAAACAAATTTCATTCGCAAGGGAGTACATTCCACAAGCTTCTTACATATGCGCAAGTGCAGCAGGTGGCCCAAAGGATGCTCCCCAGACCAGGCGCCCTCAACGCTTGGTAGATGAAGCCAATGGACACCAACAGACTCAGGTGAGAAAAGCACCGGCTAAACCTGAGTTCAGAGTTCGGATCATGTGGAAACATGGTTTACGGAGCTCCTAAGATGGGAATGACAACGAAAGGAAATCAAGTGTTTCTTCTCCGCTCAGGAAACAAATGATAGTTCCTCTGGCGAAGCTTGATCATCTCTTCCTCAACCCTAAACCCTTTGGACATCCAGGGACTTTGCCTGTCGTCATATGTTGGACGTCACCCGCCAAACGAACCGTTTGGGACCTCCTACCCCGGTGGTGTGACTCCTACCCCGGCAGTCACGCGGTTTCGGTACGCATGCGTGTCACGCAACCGGGGGCAATAGGAACATAACTATACAAAACTCTGAAGCTACTAATCCTTTCAAAACGACCTCAGGTCTCATGCAATATAGTATGTATATGTATGTATTGATTTCGTATTGAATCATAGAATCATATATATATATAACTGCGGGAGAGCCCACACCTGCATGTCTTTCAAATTCCGAAAATCTCGACACTTCCGTATTAGAGTGGGTAAGAGGATGAAGTCCAGGAAATAAGAAACGGAAACGGCTATCTTTACATGGACATGGCCAGAAGTAGTACCCCCACATACCCCCACATTCGGAAGCATCACAATTGATCACACTGACCAAGGTATAAGGTGGCCGTCCAAGCGCAGGGTTTTATACGATTTTGTACGTACATCTCAGGTGGTTGCGAATAGTGGCCACCCAACACCTCCACACCTGTTTGATCAGAAGGCTACTGGCCCATGCTCGCAGGGCCGCCACATCGCCGCCCGTTAAGACCAGATGCGCTGGGCCCCACAAGAGAACCACGAGACCCACCACAAGGGCTGGACCATCCATGGGGCCAAGGGCGACGGGTTGGATACCCTGCTCTTCAAGAGCCACAGGACCTGTGTGATGTCAAAATTCAACTGAAACAAGTAACAGTAACAAGTGCTGGTTATCTGCGTTGAACAAACATGAACAAGCCAAAAAATATCCTTAAGCCAATACGGATCAATACGGGCTTTGCAAACAAGGCGCGAAGCATCAAGTGGCAGTGGCACTAAACTATATATATACTGATACTCTCCTTCAAACACCATCCCCACCCAAGAAGAACGTGCTGGGCAAACGCCATGGGAGGCTTAACGTGAGCTAACTGGTGAGCTGTTTGGTGTTGTTTGCTTTTGGGGCTCAGAACTGCCCCAAGTCGTCTGACCGCTCTCTCCCCGTCCTGCCGGCACATGGCTAAACGGACCATGGCATCCTGGTGGGTCAATTTGAGCAGAGTCATTTCAATTACATACGGTTCATGTGTATAATCCAAATGCTTGGTTTTCTGGAATTATCATTACAAGTATCTGCTTAATCTCAGTAACTGGTGTAGCGAAACGTTTTTCACACGTGAGTGGAACGTCCACACTACAAGGCTTCTTGAAGGTACTCGCTCCAGTATATACATGGCTGCCGTGGTGGGTCGCTGGTCGACCCACGTCCCGGCGGAACACCCTCGAGAGGGTCCCAAGTCCTCCGTCTTGTCCAGCACCGTCAAGCGGCTGGGGCGGTGTAAGCGCACATACTGACGACCAGGGCCAAACCTAGGCAGCTTGGGGCCACAGGGGGTGACTTGTGGGATCCAAAGACACCAGATTTTGGTGCCGCAGTTGACCTGTACGAGCGGCCATCAACCAGCCGGGAGCGGCGCAACCGACGAGCGGCCGACAAAGGGAGCGGCGGAACGGTCAGACCGTTCCAACGATGCAGCGACACCGTTCCAAGATGTGATGAATTCACCCTTCAAAATGATGTTCAGCACTTGGCCTAGTGAATGTCTTTAAAATGTTCTTGAAAATAAACAAAGAAAATGACACTTGGCCCAGGTGGCCATTCAACCAAAGGTTCCTCTGGGAAGCCACTCGCACCAATTCGGGCTTTGGAGGAGGGTTCATGAAGAATGGCCTACAAAGGACATGAACTGTTGTTGCCACAAAGCAATAAAGTAATTTACTGGTGATTCGCCGAGCACCGCTAGGTTTGGGGCTGGACGAATATCTCAAAAACAATTCTCAACGATGTTGGGCCAAAAGCTGATGACCCACCTGGTTGGGAGGGTCATGACAAACTCATTCGGCATGGGCGAATAGGGGAAATCAGAATTTTGAAGGGGTTGAAGAAAGGAACAATCAGACCAAAGGCAAATGGACAAAGATCAGTTGGTGTGGCTTATATAATACATAGGGCGTGAAAAGAAAACAAGAAACTTGTTGGGTGTTCCGTCTTCCCGTCGATCAACCTGACCCTTGTTCGGCAACCGCAATGGGGTAGGTCGTCGTTCGTTTCAGCATTCGGCCTCCATTTGCGGTGAAGAGTTTGTTGCGAAGGGGGCCGGTGACTCGGGGCGCGAAGGTGATTTCATGATGGATCAGCTTTTTTTAGTAGGCGTTTGGGTATAGACTCTGAACCATCTCAGAGGTGTTGAGAGAGTTCTAGCATCATAATTTTTCACTCATCAGAAGCAATCATGTGGCACACCTTCTGAGAAGATTCTAGAAGCTTCCTCAGAATATAAATTAGGTACCCCATCTAAAGATATGTAGAAAACATATAATGGACATATATACTATAGAGAACTATATTGTGAGCTGCAAAATACCCATGCCATAAATTATATAACCACCGAGAACTGCTGCGAAACCGAGTGGCAAATCGAAGGTCTTCGGAAACACGAGCAGAAAGCTGGTGATGCCGATCTGGCTGTGAGCCCAGATCGGAGTAACACATCAACAAGACTGATTCTGTGGACACGCACCAACGGGGGGTGTGGTGTTGTAATCCTATCAAGAGCGATGGATGACTTGGAACAACCCAAACAGGGACGTCCCCGAGTGAGGCGTTCACATGCGGGGTGCGGGTCATCAAAAAGGGGGCCGATGAAAATCCATTCTGGTCGTGGCATGTGTGTTTTAAGAGACTCCCCAACCAATGAATATGTTCGTCGGTGTTTGCTGTTCCCTGGGTTTGGGGGGTCTCCCTCTTTCCAAGACACGCCCAACTGCTGGCGTTTTCACTTTTAGAAATTACAAACCAACAAAATAGACTGCCAAGGATGTCAACCTGCCCCTGTTTGGTGTGCTTCGTCTTGAACCAGACCTATATTTGTTGTTACCAAAACATTAAGGGGACTAAACAAGTCCAAACCAAACCAGCCAGAAAAGGTTTAAAATGTGGAGCCGCTTGTGAAGTAGACACAGTTCTTGTTCCAACATGTTCCAACTATATATCTATTTGCAGATTGCTATGAAGAAGCCTTGCTTGCAGTTGAACATCTACATTCTTAAGAATATCTTTTTCAGAAGCTACTAGGAACAAGAAGCTACTAGGGGCTCCTGGCCATACTACTAGGAGCAAGAACGCTACTAGTAGCCACTTTGTCACCGGCTTTCGCACACCAAATAGCACCTTTTTTCTTCGACCCTCCGCATCTCACCCGACACTGGCCGCCCACTGGCCGCCGCCTCATAGTGGACCCAGACGCCGCTGCGGCCGGTCCTCGTTTGAAACTCCACCGACAACCTCGGAGCGGTCGGAGGGCAGAAAGTGGGCACCCCGCCACAGGTTTGTGGGAGTTTGTGGGGGCAATGACTTTTATAAACAGATCATGGGATGATCATGGTTCATCTGTAACACCCTTCTTGCTCCTAGTAGCGATGCCAGGAGCTCCTAGTAGCGTCCTTGCTCCTAGTAGTAAGGCCAGGA